TGGTTAACTGATTTATATTACAGGGATCTTGTAGCTCTAAGACTTCAGCTGAAAGATGGCAGAGGACGGAGCAGGCACTTGGCGGTCTGCTCAATATATCTCCCGTACGACTCAGAAGAGAATCCACCCACCGAGTTGATAGAATATTGCCGAAAGAGTGGGCTCCCTCTTGTGGTTGGCTGTGATGCAAACGCATACAATGTTGCGTGGAGCAGCACGGCGACCACCTTCTGGAGGACTTGCAACCAACTGATATTTGAATGTTTTAAATCAGGGAGCAGCCTCTACCTTCGTCACAACGCGGAAGCAGGAGGTTATCGATCTGACAATTAGGCTTCAATGATAGTGTTATTCAATACAGGCAGGGATTCTGATTAAGGCTACCTGGTGCTTGTTTCCAAATGAGATCGACAGGGCGACGGCCCTTATAGAAAACTTCCACACGGTTCAATCATAGTCAGTTGAATCAGAAGGCAAGCACGGAGATGATGATACTTGGGTTCAAGTCCGATCTATCGACCGAAGGCATGAACGCAAGAAAACAGTGCCGTATCCGGTAGCTTGAAGGCCGTAGGATTTTAACTTTCAACGACACCAGTTACACAGACGAGTAAGACGGCTAAATGAGACTAGCTATCAAATTAACAGGTCTGGGAATGGTAATGAAATTCTCTCTGTGAAACAAAACGGAAATCAATTAAAAGGAATTTTGGTTTTCTAACCCGGGATGTAATAACGTTTGGGTCTGGAATCTGGTTCTGGTTTGTGGTCGGCAAGAGGTGGAGGAATTCGAAGTCTTAACAATTAGACCTTTATAGGTACCAGGAGAACCATAAAACAGGTAGGAGATTGAGAAAGAATTTAATTTCAAGGTATGGGGACGACTGGTGACATCTAACGGAGGAATTTTACAACACGTACTATAAGATGTTTGCAAATAAAACATTGGCGTTATTTTATATTTTCTTACACCATTTAGAGCTTCCCTGGCTTTAGGGTATACCGCCGAGAGCAGCTTCGTAGCTAGGATAAAGTGTTTTAATTGAAACTTTCGCTTTTTCATGTTAGTTACCTGCAGATCAACTTTTTGTGTTGTTTCTTTTTCAGTTTTTCAAAGGCTAGAAGTGGCAAGGCAAATTAGACAACCTTTATCCTCGCCAAGACATAAAAATCAACAATACTATTGTATAGATGGGGCCAGATCATGCTGTAGGTGGGGCTGCCTCACCTGGCCACCCCCTGGATACAGGCCTGGATGAGAGATAAGAGTGGTGTATTCACCTGAGCCGGGTCGTGCCAAATACGACATGGCGCAGGGTTTTAGACCCATCAGCCTATCATCTTTTCTTCTAACAACGGTGGAGGCGTGGAGAGATGCATACATAAGGAATGGGGTACTGGTCCTTAGACCACCACATCCATTCCATCATGCTTACAGGACTGGTATGGCCACGGAAACGACTCTTCACAGCCTCGTGTGCAAGCTGGAGAAGGGTAACCCCGGAAGCGTGGGCAGGTTTACCAACAACACGTTCGATTCAATTAGTGAGGCTGGTGAAGGCTTTTACGAAAAGAAGAAGAGCGGACCTTGATGGGCTCACTCTTAGAGTACGTCAACTGAAATATCTGGGAGTCATCATAGACTCCCGCGTAGTCTAAGCTTCGGTGTCCTTTCGGTGCACTGGTTGACTGATGGTCAACTATCATCTGGCGACAGTTATCTGGAACTGGAGAGGGTGAAGTAACTTAGGCTAACCGAGGTCCTAACCTTTATTGGGAGGAAGGGGCTCTGAACATAGTTGCGAAAGAAAGGGAGAATGGACATTTGGTCTCCCTAATAGTGCTGCCTGGCCGGTCTCCCCTATGAATAGAGAGATAGAGATGGTTAGAGCAATCACTGTCGCTGTAACACCTTATTATACCCCCTGAAACCCGTAACAGGCTTTAATAATCTAACCACCGAGAACCTTATTCTAATATCAGATAACATTTCCCTATGTTACATTTTGTCGCCCAATAGTGAGGTTTCTTCCTATTTAATTTAATAGTTAATTTAAAGCAAAAAAAATGTCACTAATAATAATTTACTAATTAATAAAAATAATTATAAATTGTGCACAACTCTTGTGCAGATAAAGCGCATTTTTTTGAACTGAAATAACTTTTGTTTTGACGTCACCAATGGATATTCCTTGCAGACGTCGTCTCAATCGCCCTTTGTGAGGTCGAGGAGGAGGGCTATGGTTGGTAGAAATTAATTCCTTTCGTTAAGACCTTTCATTAGAGTACCATGAAGGAATAAAACTAGTTCTACTCCCCCCCCCCCTGGCCCCGTCGCTCACTGATCTCGAAAACGAGTCGCACGAGAAAGTTATAGTTTGTACAAATCAACTTATTTCGATGAGACCTTTCATTAGAATACCATGGAAGATAAAACTAGTTCCACTCCCCCCCCCCCCCCCATTTTCTGAAGTTTAACTTGGCACCACTCTATCTGAGATCAATTGGTTGTCGTATGTAAAAGTTATGCACGTTTTACTTTCAAAAACAGCATCTCAGGGAATAATTCGTGGGGGAGGGGGGCCCTTTTAGACAGCGAAATTTGATGGCCGTCTGGCACACTTTCAAGGTAGTATAGGCTACCTACTACAAAACATTCCAGGACTCTAGGACCATTCCCCTAGAAGTAGTTCGAAACGGCAGAAGTGGGTCCGGACGTACGGACAGACGGACAAAACGCAAACAATAGCGCATTTTTTCTAATTCTTCAAAAATGCGCTAAAAAGGTTGATGCGGTATTGATTCAGTATTTTTTAAATAACTTTCTATTGGTCCTGGTTTTTCAAATTTGCTAAACGGAATTCTAGTGTGCTCACAAAACTTTGACCATTTAACCTAATCGCTATCGTCATAGATACTGTAGCGAACATTCCAGAAATCCCGATAAACATCGAGGCGCCATTAAAGATTAATCATCGGCGATAAACAACGAAGGTGGATGTGACCGTGACGTAATCATTTCTAGAAATATCACGTGTTCGAGAACATATTGACGCGTCCTTGAGCACTCGAGAACATTCTAAGAACATTCTAGAAAGAATGTTCTTTGTTATATAAGCAATTGTGTTTCGAATTCAGTTCCAACATCAATGCGTTCTTGTTATATTATTATAAATTGTGAGTGATAAATTGTATTTACTGTTATAAATTAATCAGATTTAAGAATTAAGAATTAAAATTTATTGATAATTAATTGTAAATAAATTCAATTTACGTTACAATACCATGCAATTCTGGGACACGCTGTAAGGGAAATTTAACCATCAAAAAGCTTCCGCACAAAGAATGAATTGCAAGCTGTTTAACAAAGAAAGTGACGTGGCATTTTCTCAAAAATTTCCTGTTTAGCAGAAGTTGCAAATAATTTTATTAGTTTTCATTCAGTTCCCTAATGAAGCGGTTATCCTGAATTTTGGACAGAGAAATATGAAAGTCACCAGTGAGGCTTTCACTTATGTGTGAGAGAGCGAGAGAAATGCAATAAAGGTATCGAATGACCTAGTATAATGAGATTGTTACGAAACGTAACAGTTTTAAGCAGGGGATGGTGTAACGTAGATGAAAATTTCGGTATAGACAACAATCGGTGATCCGATTAAATAAATTGTTTCTTCTTTCTATGTTTCTTTTTCTAATATGGAGAAAGATCCACATAATAATGGAAGAGTGCTTTATTTATAAAGTATAAAATAGCAATTATCATATCAGTCTAAAAGAAGCGGTATACATTTTTAAAACTTTGTTATAAAATCGCGTAACAATATTTAACTGGTCCGCTTTAAAGTTGAGCTAAAACTTGTATCCGGGAAACTTTTTATTGGAGAAAATTTGATTTAATTTTTATAACAGCGCCAAAGAGAAATGAGTGCCGTAATTTCTTTTGATGCTACAATGTAATTTCTATATTCCAAGTATCAACGGAATAAAATTTCGAGAGAACGAACGCTAACGCTGCCTTACTAATAATTTATATTGCCATTTTCATCATCGCGTTTACCTTACCTCTTTCTCTCCCGCTCTCTCGCGTGCGATATCCGAAAATTTATTATTAACTTAACAATATTTTAGGAAGTTATAAAATTATCGACGTAGTTTAATAAATTGATTATGGAAGTTAAGACGGCACATTTACATTTTGCAATTTACACCATTTGGAAGATTAATATTGAAATATGAAATTGTTAATTTATTACATTCAATTATTCGCGTTTCTCTTGTAATACCTACTTGCTGCAAATTAATTTATGAAATTTCTCGTTATAATAGAAACCAGTTTTAATAATTATAAACTCTTTATCGATTTTCACTCAACGCGCATTTTCTAACATTTGCAGTTACTGCACCTTTCTGAGCCATGTATGCGTTACATGTCAATTGGTGTGTCACTCCACCACCACCTTAGATTTATTATTTGTTATTTCATTATGATAACGACATCATTCACGATTGAGAAACACGTACAATTGTCTTTAAAAAAAACCGAGACGCGAGCTACCCTCAAAAAAGTGATGCAATTTAATTTTTTTCTTGGCAACCATATAGGTAGGTATAGTATATTAAGTAACAAGGGATTAAAAAGGGTTTTTGTTCATGAAAGAATGGTTTAAAGCCCGAGGCTTGCCGAGGGCTTTAATATTCTTGAGGGAACAAAAACTAGTTCAATCCAGTGTTACTTATACTATTTTTTCCAATACCGACCGATCTGAATCCATTTCAAAATTAATATGGTATAAAAACTATGAAAAAGTAAGGTAGGCTTTTTTTTAATTTTGGTAAAATCATGCCTGTAAACCCTTCTAAAAATATTGAAGACGAAAGTGACGAAGCATATGAAGGCACCTCTTTCATCCCCTAAGATGTCACTTGCTGATAAAGGTTAGTTTGTGTAAAACATTGCATGCTCATGCTTCCAAAGTTTTTGGTTGTAGATTGTGACAATTATGGATATTGGAGGAGTTGCAGCTTGCAGATCAGAGGAATTGTTGAAAATGAACGTAGACTACATAGAAGTTGGAAAATCGATGCTGGTAGTTAGAATTCCAGATACAAAAACTAAAAGTCAAGAGTTATTACCATTGTTGAGGCGGAGAAGAACTCAGTTATTTGGTATTATATAGGAAGAGCTGGATGTACACTAAGGCCCTTTATAAATTGTGCTTTTCATATTACCTGTTCTGAAAATAAAGAATATGAATAGGTACTTTCTGAATGTTTTACAAGAAATCAAAAATGAGGGATTCAAATTTTGTAATCCCTAGGGATTAAAATTACCTATTAATGCACAAAAATTAAAATTAAATTAAATACGTGTCGGCATTGGAAAAAAATTTGTTTTTGGATTCTCTATGGCCCATTTTTTTTCAACATACTTATATGTTACACCCTGTAAATGCGTTAAAATTACAAAATCAATCTACTATGCCTTCGCGATAGAGGAGTCGAGTGTAAACAAACGTAAAGGGAGCTAGCATTAACTAATTGGTTTTGCATATAAGATGCAACTCACCCAAAATTATTACGTCCCATCCCTTCGAATGAGGGCGAAATTACGTACGCAAAGTGGAAAAATATAAGAAAGCACGGGAAGATGCAATAATAATAATAACAATATTCCGAATTACGGGCGTATAAAATTTAATTTGCCGCTGAACATTTTGTTAAAATAGAAAATAATGCGAGTTATGAAATACTAATTTGCGTCTGACAGTGGCCGGGATGAAGCTCAAGGGAGAAGGACGCGGACGCCAAGAAGTCTAATTTACTTAGTATGGAATTAGTGTAATGAAAATATCACTGTCGTTTCAACTTCTCTCAAAGATGGAAATGAGATGTTAGCCAGTTTCTTTTTGTTTGAACGAATGGAAAATTCGTTTTATGATATTAGGAGCTTTATGTCTGCTTTATGAATATTTAAAAATTTTTCTCTTGGCAGATCTTTGATCCCTTGCAGTTTTCTTAGATATGATACGGTAACGGTACATAAAGAATATAGAATCTCTAAGGTGGATAGATAGATACGATACACTTTGTTGTTGATAAATGCATTTTAAAAGTAAAAGACTTTACTTTCATTCTTTTCTCTCGCTTGATCCATACGTTTCTTGTGACTGCAATAAAAGATGTATACAAATTGTCTTTTATGTCTCTTGAAACCTTCTCGTGCACGGTTTAGCTATCCAGTCATAAAGTTATTTGAATGCGTAAGCAAACGGCTTCTGTAGATCGAAATTGGTTCCTTATTACCTAAAGATGGATAATTCATTTTCTGTCTTCCTAAACTTAAAACCTATTATTTTCCGAATACGTTTGGAAAAACCCATGTTCCTTTTTACGGTGTAAAAGTAATCCTTTCTATTCCTCGATAGTCCTTATAGTCCAGGACGCAGCGACATTTTTTGTGCACTCATTTCAACAAAGTTGATATTCTGCCATTTTCTATTGTTTTGATAGTACAAGTAAACAAAACGGTAGTCTACCGCGTCGGCGGTGTTGCCTAAATTTGCAACAATGTTCTGAACATGTTAATAAATAATATGTACATGCCTCATTTCTACAAGAATGAAAGTTTGTACAGTAATTAAGTATACCTAAAAATGAAGTATGGTAATAGTCTACCGAGCTGGAAGCGTTGCTATCACAAGTCTACCACCTACGCAAGACGCATAAAAAATTGTTCGATTGAACTTATTTCAACAAAGATGAAATTTTTGTTGGAAGAAGTTGATGTCATAAGAAACAAAAAAAAATTGGTCTACCGATCGCGTGATGTTGCTAAGGTCTCGGTAGACACGCTGGAAGGTACGATTTTCCGAGCGCAGCTGCTGCACTGCTCTGCTAAAAGTACCTCTAAATTATTATATACACGGGCATAAAATAAAAATATTTCAAAAACGAACATAGGCAATTAACATGGGAAAAAGGTTTTTTGCAGATCGTGGCTCCCCATGATAATTTAGGTCTTAGCGGGTTTATAATGACACCAATCGAAAGAAGATTTTTTTTCTTTATCTAATGATATACGAATTAGTTCATTTTCAGTTGTATTTCTCATTATTAACGATCCTCGAGATTGTTTATAATTTTGTATTGCTGCCTGTCTGTCCGTCTGTCTGTTCCTCTGTCCGTGTGCACGATAACTCATAACTGAATAAGTTTGTATAGAAAAGTCCGATCGCTTTGAAAATTGAAACAGCTGTTCTTAAGGATATAAAAAAGGTCGCTATTGTTTTTCAGCTACGTAGACTAACGGGGCAAAAAATTACAGCCCAAACCTCCAAAAAGGGCTTCTTTTATAATTTTTGTTACAAAGAACATGTGAATGCCCGCTTTTCTGTGTTAGTAAATGTCCCTTAAGCCCCAGGTAACTATGCAGATGAATAAAAAAAATGTGCAACCCAACTTTTGTATTTGCGCAATCCCAAATTTCTTTATTTGTTAAGATATTTAATTGAAATTTAATATGTAGGCACCTCGAGTAAAAGTAAAACCAACGCCGAATCAAAAAATTTTTTTTTCGCATGCGCAATCTTGTTTTTTTTTTGTTAAGATGTTTAAGCGAAATTTTGTATCTAGGCACCTCGAATAAAAGTAAAAGTAACTCCGTTTCAAACAACATGTTTGACAAGCTATTCCGATTTGGTGGGACAGAATCAACCCCTTAAGGCGCGTTGTAAAAATGATTGATGCGTGAAGATCTCGAGGATCGTTCGGTATTCAGTTGTAACGGTTTTTTTTTAATCAAAAATTCGTTATTCGTTATTCAATTCGAAATGAATATCAGTTTATGACAACTGTCAATAATGTTTTTTATAAAATTTATTCACTGAGGAAAAAGTATTTATAATAAACGACGGCGGAAATAGTTACTGCACGCGATATTTGTTTTCCATGCATTTTAACGAGCGTCCCACTCCGTCTAAGTCAATTCTTTAGAAAATTTTCATGGCTTAAAATGATTTTGGTAATTGGAGTTATTGCCGAATTTTGGATAAAATAATGAAAACTAAAAACATTAGTTATTTTAAATTTCCTATCAAAAACAAACCTCGAATGACGGCATGGAAAATAAATTGTGGAAATTCTATTATTGCCGGGCTAGACGATGAGGAATTAAAATATAAAATCGTTTGTGAAAATCACTTTAATTCATGTGATATTTACAAAAGCGGCAATCGGAAGTTATTGAGAATCAATTCAATTCCTTTGCCTTACTCAAAACAAGGTAACCATGTTATTTTTTGTCGTTAAAATGACTGATACATTTTTTCAAGATTTAAATTACAAGATGGCCCTTCTACCTCATACAGCAATCAAACGTTCAAAGAAACGAGAAGTATTCCACCCCATTCAAACATCTTTTGTGAAAACTCCAATTCAACCACAAATTCGACTTTATGTACAGAAATTTTGAAAATGCCATCACCACAAAAATTATCTAGAAATTATATTACATACAAGTTGAAAACTGAGCAAAAACTTAAATACGAAAAACGTTTAAATTTATAGACTGAAAACTAAAACATCTCGCTTCTCAACAGGTTAGTCAATTAAATTTTTTGCATAGTTATCAAATTACAGAGCTTTTTTGTCAAAAAAGCGTATGGAAACTGGTACTTATGTTCACGATTTTCTATGAACAGTAGCATTAAATTTTGACACAAAATAGCGAATGTCAATGATATTATTCAGTTATGAGTTATCGTGCACACGGACAGACAAACAGACAGACAAAATTATAAACAATCTCGAGGATCGTTAATAATGAGAAATACAACTGAAAACGAACTAATTCGTACATCATTAGACGAGGAAAAAAATCTTCTTTCGATTGGTGTCATTATAAACCCGCTAAGACCTAAATTATCATGGGGAGCAACGATCTGCAAAAAACCTTTTTCGCATGTTAATTGCCTATGTTCGTTTTTGAAATATTTTTATGCCCGTGTATATAATAATTTAGAGAGGTATTTTTAGCAGAGCAGTGCAGCAGCTGTGCTCGGAAAATCGTACCTTCCAGCGTGTCTGCCGACACCTTAGCAACATCACGCGATGGGTAGAACATTTTTTTTGGTTTCTTATGACATCAACTTTTTCCAACAAAAAATTCATCTTTGTTGAAATAAGTTCAATCGAATAATTTTTTATGCATCTTGCGTGGGTGGTAGACTTGTGATAGCAACGCTTCCAGCTCGGTAGACTATTACCATACTTCATTTTTAGGTATAATTAATTACTGTAAAAAGTTTCATCCTTGTAGAAATGAGGCATGTACATATTATTTATTAACATGTTCAGAACATTGTTGCAAATTTAGGCAACACCGCCGGCGCGGTAGACTACCGTTTGTTTTGTTTACTTGTACTATCAAAACAATAAAATGGCAGAATATCAGCTTTGTAGAAATGAGTGCACAAAAAATGTCGCTGCCTCCTGGACTATAATTTGTGTTTGTAGGGTTACATTCATTCTCCCGATTTGGAATTTGTATATGACGACACAGATCTCCACACAAATGAAATTGCTGAACTCTACAGCTATACGGAACAAGTGGAATTGCAGTACTATGTTAAGGCGTTCGAGGATCAAATGGAACAGTATGCGCTTCCACCGAGTTGGCAGAGGTTGTCACTCGTACAAAGAAAATCGGTAATCATGAAGATGCTGGATCAGCTGGAAGTGAGCAGTAAACCGATCCAAATGCGTGCGGCGCGCTGTATCTTGTATATCGCTCAAGGTTGCTGGGCCGAAATGCAATCGGATGCCGAACAACAAGAGTGGACGCGTACCAACGTGATGCTACTGTACGATATGGGTGTGTTTACTGCTTTTTCTGATCTTCTCAATATCGAGATAGAGTAAGTATTTGCGAGCAAATGGCCACGTGTAATGGTTTTTTTAGGAATAGTGCCGCAGCACAAGTTGCTATGAGGAAAATCGCAGTTTCATTAGTAGATTCACAAGATCTAAGGGTGATACTGTCAGTTTTGTATACCGTAACTGAGGTGTTGCGATATGAAAGCACTTTGGAGACCTCGGAATATAAAGCACAGGTTGATGCATTTACTAATGAAGTTGGTAAATCTGTTTTGGTATGTGTCGTAAACATTAATAAATATTTTGTCTCCCCAGCTGCGTTCGACGAAGAGCATATGGTGGTGAAATTGCTCGGAATGGTAACTCGCTTCTGTAGTGGCGCCGCTCCTCATTTTCCAATGAAGAAAGTTTTGCTTTTGTTGTGGAAGTTAATACTAATATCTTTAGGAGGCATGAGTACACTAAGAATTCTTAAGGAGGAACAGAGAGAGAAGGCAGGTATACCTCCGCAGAATGAAGACACACTTGAAGTTGCCAAGACAATGCGAGCGTCTTCGCCTCCTGCCAGTGCGTCTGATCTTTTGGAAGCGCAGAATCAAAAACGCAACAGTCGGCCGTTCAGACGTGTAATGAAGTTGTAATTGTTAAACAATGTTTATGCTCACTTTGTTCTCGTAGAGTTTGATCAAGCAAAGTTCGTTAGACGACCACGACGCTCTTGGTATGGAATTGGACAGTGCGCTAACCTCGGACAATGGGGATGATCTTGTCGATGAGTACGACGAGCGCCGGCCGACAGATCTTTCTGAAAATCAGGTGTATAAAAATTACCACAATCGATCCAGCTCGCCGATACCCATGCCATTACCCCCACCAAGAGGCAAGTATTCAATATGTATGCTAAACAGGCCAGTCGCCAACTGGAGCATATTGAAAGGGACTGGTTCAGCCTATGCCAAATTACATTTACCATAGAGGAATACAGCCTGTTTTAGATCAAATTTCTACATTAAGAGTCTTCTGTCCCCACTGCACGCAATGTAAATTTCCATAAGAGCGCCCGCCATAAAAACTAATTTTTTTAAAGAACTATTTTATAAATTTAGACCTTTATCTACAAAATGTTCGGACTATTTTTTTAAAAAAGTGTATAGCAACTAAATATCGATTGTTTAAAGATTAGCTGTTTTCGCCGATTATTATGCTAATCTGTTTCATTTTTTTACTCGCGATCAAGACGATTTATGGAAAAAGTAAACCGACAGTTTTTTTAGATAAGTTACTTCTAAACATAACCCCAAAAAATGAAACCATATTTTTTGTAAATAAAGTCTGTATTTTGGCGGGCGGTAAATCAACAATTTCAGTGTAACAAGTGCTGAGTGTCGGCGGGAACTAACTAAGGACCAACACAGGAGTTGACAAAGCAAAAATATCATTTTGTCTCTTACAACTATAATCATCTATATACTATAATGTAAAAAAGTTGCGCGCGGGTAAAGAAGACTCTTAAGATAAATAAATAAAGAGCGCTTATCGGGTATTGGACTTATGAAACTTCGATATTTATTTGATGGACTGTATGAATGCTATGGTTTTGTATAAAGAGGGATGTTGAAACAATATCGACAGTAATGATTAACGTGTTTATTGATTAATAATACAAATAAAGTAAATTGATTCTAAATCTTGATTTGGTGATTCGATTTGGCCCATGTACTATACAAATTGGAATGATTACGAAAGGAATTACTGGTTTTGAAATAGGTTTAATAAACAAACGAAGGCGATAGATGATGGTGGTAGCGATAACGAAGATTGCTGGCTGGTTAATTAAACGACAAAGGCGTTGTACAAATAAGTTCGGCGATAATGGCATGCTGCTTTTTAACAGACACATTCATTATTGATTGTTGTACGATGATGTATTCTTCTTCGCTTGTTGTTTAATTCTACTTCGGCGGCGCATAACAAGTGGAAATATATCCAGGGATAGGAGAAACAGTTATATACGGGCTGTTTTCATAATTTTTGTGCAGGGATTTCAAAGGAATAAAAAGGAACGAATCTGTTTTGGGGCGGAAACTATAGTACTCCGGGTTGGCTCGTATTTTTGACAAGTTAATACTTGTTTTTTTTAAAGGGACAACTAGTAGTCTAAATTTAAAGAAATGGTATAATTTGGAGGACCAATTTTCCTTTTTACCACGGCTAGACGCATACTTTAGGATGTAAAAAAATCATAATTGCCATTCCAAAGTATACCTATCTTTAGAACTATTGGTCCGACTTCATCATTTTCTTAAATATAAGCTTTTGTGTGTGCTACAATATTGTCATAACTACATTTCCGATAAAATCAACAATTAGTAACTCATGCATGAAGTAAACGAACAGAATTTTTTTAACTCTTAACATTTAATGAAAACTAACTCAACCCCTTCGTTACTTTCAAAAGTTTCATATACACTAAAATCTGCTACTTCTCCCTTTTCTTCAGTGACGTTTCCACAAGTTGGCAGTTTGCATGCGCTTGTACATTTTAAGTTATTAGCATTACATAATGGTAGTTGTCAAGAGCCAGCTTTGTAATTCTACGTGAGGTGGTATGGAAGCCAAACTTAGGGTTATCTTTCATCTTTTTGCTGCTTCCGGAATAGCATCTCTTTGATTTTGACGTACAATTTTCCAATGTATTTTTTGTTTTCACATAATCTATGTCAAATTATGTGGCACAATATACACCTTTCCATCAATATTAACAAACTCTTTGCTAACGTTATGGCTAAAAGCCGTATTTGATCGTATTTATTGCAAGACAGTCAGTCTTGTCAGTTGTAAAGTTCTTGTTTAGAGTTAAGCGGAAACGTGTTTCACGTTTTACAAAGAAGTTAGTGGAAGTGCTGTGTTTAGCAAGAAGGCTTCGCTTATCTGAAGACTTTCTTTAAGGTTTTCCCAGTACTCGTTAAATGGAGTTTTTTCACCATTAAAGAGCCAATTTTACATCTGTAATTACAACGAACCCAGTGTCGTCCAAATTGAGATACAAGTTAAATTAAAGTAGAGAAGTGAAGTTATGGAAACATAATCCGCACATACCAATTTCATCATCATTTGGTATTTGATCATGCCTCTTCAGCTACAATTATATATCTGTAGACGTAACTACAATGATTTTTGTATTTAGTGAAAAACGGTGAAAATTCTTGTAATGCAACGGTCTATAACACTGCCTAAGATTGCCTGTATTTTGGAGAGTTCAATTCACTCAAATCTCTCCACATATGATCCATATATTTTTGCATATTTTCACCATCTTCCTGATGTTTGGAAGCACTTATTTTATTTTTATTTTAATTCAATTTGCTGATCAGCTAAAGCTGTGAATACTTATATGCAACATGAATATCGTTTATTTTTGGTTGTACTTTTTATGAGATTTTGTGTATTTTCTGTGTGCAACATTTGCGATTAAACCGAATGTATTTTTGCATATTTTAAGATGTATTGAAATTTTTGTCGTTTTCTAATGCACCTATTACTTTTGTTGATGTAGAGAGATGTTTCTCTGCTTAGTGCTTATAAATTAATTCTTAGCGACAGGAGGCAATCATTTCGTGCAGAAAACTTAGAGAAAGATCTTATTACAAGTGTTTATCGTAATTCCTTTTTTATTAAAAATTATGTAACATATATAATTTTGTATATGTGTGCATATATATCAAAACTGTTTGCATATTTTTCACTAATATTTTGCATATATATGCGTATAATTTTACCATTTATTGTGTATTAATACAGGCAGTAATGAAACTTCGGAAAAAGCAAAAAAAAACATTTTTTTAAATTACTTATTAACAGTTGATTTTATCGAAAAAGTACTAGTATAACGATATTTATAGCACATAAAGAGCTTTCATTAAAAAAAAGAATAATGAAATTGGATCAATAATTCCAGAGTTATAGTTGATTTTATAAAACTCAACATCCCCCATTTTTTATTGACCGCCATTTCTATTAGCTACCGCTTTAAGATGGCAAATGGTTTTTTGGCATCCTAATAAACATGAATAGCCACTGTAAAAAGGAAAATTGGTACCCCCAAATTATATTGTCATGTCGACTGGCCCATGGACTATAGATTCTTAGATGTATATTTTTCGCATTGTTTTCAGCGCCACTCTTTGACATAACGAAATTATTCGTTGATTGAATTATTATGAGTTCAATTAATAGATCAATCTTCATTGTCAGTTGTAGAAAAGGTATAGTGCACAGCATGTTTGAAAAGCTTTCTTCACACTCACATTACCCATGGCTCATACCACTAAACCTGAAAACTGCACATTTCAAAACTTGTAATACCATTTTGTAAAGAAACACCTCCATTACGCCATCCATAGAATGAAAATATTACCCCTGATCAATGATTATTTCCGTCATATAGTAAAGTTTCTTTCTATGGCTACAAAATGCGCTCTAATTACCAGTCAGTCAAATTAAGATGTTTAAACCTGAATTATTGTTTGTAATTAAACATTATACTCTACAGGATTACCTTGGAAACCTAAAGTGAGGCAAAAAGATATAGATTTTTTCTTGGAAAATGCAAGAATGAAATTCGTCGGCTACAACATACAAGGCGATCATCAGAGTTTAGCTGGCTTACCCCAGCCAATTCACGAAGGCGTGAAAACCTTAAATGACCACATGTACGTATCGCTGTCGGAGTTGCAAATACAAACCGAAGAAGTGATAGCAAGAAACCCTCTCTCCAATGCGGAACAGGAGATAGAACTAACACCGGTCGAATTATTGTATCAAGCTCTTCTACCAAATTTACCTCAGTATATTATTGCTCTATTAAAAATACTTCTCGCTGCTGCGCCTACCTCAAGAGCTAAAACTGATTCGATTAACATCATGGCTGACGTTTTGCCGGAAGAAATGCCGTGAGTTAATTAGAACGTCATAATATCAGTAACAGTACACCGATTTACAGGATGACAGTGTTGCAGTCTATGAAGTTAGGAATTGACGTAAATCGCCATAAGGAAATAATTGTGAAAGCGGTTTCGGCCATCTTATTATTACTTCTAAAGCACTTCAAGTTGAATCACATATATCAATTCGAGTTCATATCTCAACATCTGGTGTTTGCGAACTGTATTCCGTTGGTTTTGAAATTTTTCAATCAAAACATAATGGTTTATGTTGGGGCGAAAAATACGTAAGCAAGAAGTTGTATTTAATTGTTACAAAATAACTTTGCGTGTGTTTAGCATACCCATCTTAGATTTTCCTTCGTGCGTAATTGGGGATCAACCCGAATTGACCGCAGAAAGTTTAGAAATAGGAGATTCAACACCTTATTCATGGCGAAATATTTTTTCTTCCATTAATTTGCTTAGGATTCTAAATAAACTAACTAAATGGAAGCATTCGCGGATTATGGTATGCATTTCTTGTTAAGAGGGGGGTCGTTCAATTTTGGTATTTACTGTTTCAGATGCTTGTAGTATTTAAATCTGCACCAATCCTAAAACGAACATTAAAAGTGAGACATGCAATGACTCAGCTATACGTTCTCAAACTATTAAAAATGCAAACAAAGTACTTGGGCAGGCAGTGGAGGAAATCAAACATGAAGACTATTAGTGCTATATACTCCAAGGTTCGCCACAGATTAAATGATGATTGGGCGTTTGGGAACGGTACGTGATACTATAACAAAATTGCATGTACAAATTTTCTTTCTAGATGTTGATGCCAGACCTTGGGATTTTCAGGCTGACGAATGTGCTTTGAGAGCATCCGTAGACAGATTCAATAATCGGAGATATACCAACAGTTTAAAGGTTTCTTTTGCATTCTTTTATGTACTTATTTACTGTTGTCTTTCAGGAAGTGGAGTTTGAGCCTGTCGATAATTGTTTCAGTAGTGTACTTGGTATCACGCAAGATTTATCGGAAAGCTTCAAAAAGCATTATGATCTATGGCTAGAACAGGAGGTTTTTAATAATTCCATTGAATGGGAGGGTTTATTAACTGACTATATATAAGGACGATATTAGGAATTACATATTTTTATAATTTAAAATTATGTTTTTGTGTAGAATATTTATTTATGTTGCTCTTCATTAGGGTAGGTTGTAATCAAATTCACGTTTTTGTTTTGTATGAGAATGTTTAGTATTGTTTGCTCACTTATCGCAATGGTGATGTGTAAAATGAAAATAAAATAAGACCTAATATGATATCCTGTGCTACTTTCTTTTGCGTTTCAAGGTATTATTTCCAAATTAGATTTTTTCAGTTGTACATCTAAAGCTTATTTTTGTGTAAGTAGCAAGTGATAACCCCAGACCTCGGTACCTTGGACAGCTTTCTCTATATTTTATTGTATTTCTATCAGACATATCTTTGGTTTTGCTTTTAAAGAGCAATGGCCAAGCTGTCTGTATCACATGGCGAGAGTATTGTCGAATATCCACTTCAATAAGGTGATGTCTCACGTAATTCAATCACTTACAGTTAATGCTGTAGCCCCGTACGGACACCCGTGATCTTCCTGGCTTCTATTCAGTTTTAGAAGCTTAGAGGACCCCGATTTGCCAAGGGGCCCTGTTAAAAAGGCCTTGGACTGTCTTGAGTCTGTTACTTGTTGCCACTGGGCATAGGCTAAGGTTTAATGCCGCATTTTTTAAAAAAATACGCTATTCGTTATGGCTGGCTGGCCGGCTGTCCGGGTGAGATCTCGGCAACTACAATAGCTAGATTCAATTCAAATTTTCACTAAACGCTTTCTGCTATAATGTAGATGTGCAGGCTCTAGTCTATTTTGAGTTAGATTACTTGTGAGATCGATAATTTAAGGAAATAATTTCGATATGGTTTTCGGAGGTGCTATAATTTTACCATTAAATAGCGCTACCAGTATAAAAACTTAATTATTTACTTTGTGATTTGTTTTACAAAATAAAGACGTACCCTCAATTGAAATGAAATAAAATTAATTATTTAACACAGCTAAAATTACTCGTGAGATCGATAATTATAGACTTCGCTAATAAAGTACTGATTTGTATTACCAAAAATGCCCTTTAATTATGCATACGCTGATTTACAACTTGTTTGCCCCTTAAATGACTGAATTAATGCTATAGAAATAGGGATAGGAGCATATACCATGGATAGGAGACACATAGACAACGTCTTCGATCACAATAATCATTGTTGTCTTTTTGATGTTGTTATTGAGTGAATTTATCTACTGATGTGTCGGCCACATACAAAAAACGATGTTAGTTTTTTTTCTGTCTACTTATAGGTAACACGGCATGCGTGCGAGTCCGGGTATAAAATGTCCACAGTGGTTCGCTACCATATATATAGTTCGCTACAACCGTACAAATGCTAGTTACAGAAGTTGAATAAGTGGTGACGCCACTAACAAATTACACCCTTGATGTTACATCGAGTATTGAATATAATGTTGGCGAAAATGCTGACAAAGCATACTTACCTGGCGTAGGGGTTACCGTGATCAATAAGGCGGTTCCCCCAGGATGAGGCCCCCTCATTGCACTACGATCGGGCTGAAACCTGCGATTATCCCTAATGTGGATAACTCGGGCGCGTAATTTTTGGTAGTCGGGACTGCGTACGCGCTGTCCCGGTTTAATTTAATATAAAAATAGTTAGTTCAA